CCTTTTTTTTTTTTTTATAATAGGACATCATTATGTTATTTTTGAAAAAAAAATACATTAGGAGCTCATTTGTTCTATATGTATTTCTTTTGTATGTTTAATAAATTAATTAATTTATTTTACTAAACTTAAGTAAACATTCATCACCACGTGCATCGCACGTGCACTTTACTAGTAAATATAAAATATAGATATACTATAATAAAACTTGGAATTGTTTTTGGAAAATTTGAAATAAAATTTACGTAGTTATAGATAATATTTATTTTAGACATATAATTTTATAAATGCAATTAAAGGTATCATTTTTTAAAATTGAGTGTAAAATAAATGTGTCCTTTAAAATAATTATCTCTATATTAGTTCTTTATTATCTTTATTGTACATCAATTATTTATAATTTCAGAATAAAAATAAAAAAATATTTTATTGTAAAATATTAATTTTTTAAAGCACTTGTATAGTATATAAGTATTTTACTAGCTCTTATTATAGTGTTTCTTTAGATGGCTTGAACGTTGACCAAAGTGTAAGATCTTGTTTGTGCCTTGGATGAAAGAAATCTTTAAGAAGGGAAGTAATTTCCGTTCTTTGATGTTAGAATGTAAATAGGGATAAGTCAAAATGTGTTTATGAAGCATGAATAATGTTCAAGTCCCTACCTTGTAAGCCGTAATGTGTTGTTCAATCTACTTTTAGGACTCCTGGATTACCCTTGAATCTTGATATAAATGTGATTCAACTATAAGGCATTTTTTCTGGCCCACCTTGACATCACTTTACTACATGAATGCTGGTTATTCCTTTCATGAATATCAAAAGACAATAAATATGTTCCAGTAGTAATTGTATAATGACGATGTCTAGAAGTTATGTTTGTCTTACTTATAGGGCAACCATTGTGCATAAGTGTGGGTTGGGCATCCTATCCCTTTGAGCAAGCTTTTGGGGATGAGTTTCACCCAAGAATGTTTATCATGGTACCAGAGCACTTAGGTTTGTTTGGTTGGAGGCAATGTTGGGTCTCTGGCCCATTTGGTTCGGCACACTGTGCGCGAGGTCGATTGTTAGAAGTTAATCGTCCCACATCGGTTAGTTATAGGGCTGGTATTGTGGATTGCACATCCTCTTTGTTTGAACTAACTTTTGGGGATTCCAGATTGCTTTCCAATCTTTCCATAAATTAACTAGACCTCACTATAATTCTGAATATCATGTTTCTTTTATGGTTACTTTGGTCATTACATATCAATAAAGCTCTGGGATTAAATTTTACTAGAAGTAACAGAATATGTTTTTAAATTCAATCCGACTAGTGCTATGATTTCAGTAATATCAAACCATGTTTTCTGTTTGTAATTATCTCTGACGTTTGAACTTTATTCCTAGAAAGGGGTTGCGGGAGGCTGATTTGTTTAAGCTATTCACTGAAGTATTTTTGTCCCATCACAAATCACATAGATATAGAGCGTGTTACATATTATTATGACAAAGGTTTTGGGAAATGAAAAATATGAAGAGAGATAATTTTTGTGTGTATTGCAAGTACTAATAACTTCCATATTTATAGAGTGAGTGCAGACTAGGTACAACTCGTGCAAGTCACCATAAAGAAAATCATTTTTCACATCTATATAATTCATTGAGCAAGATTAATTGACCGTTAATGAGATGAGAACACGAATGGAATTCAAACTAGCAGTCGAAGTGAACGTCTCAAAGTAGTTAACACAATACGTCTGAGTAAATCCTTTTGCTACCAAATGAGTCTTATATCGATTAATACTACATCAACACGGTATTTAAGAGTAAAGGCCCGACGGCAAGCAATAATTATTGGAAGCTCGTCTGGACAAAAGTTCCCTCCTACCTAATATAAGGTGTGCCTGTGCTAGAGTTTTCCAACTGCCCAATCTGTGTAATAGGACATTGTGCTCCTGAACTTCATGCAATACATAGTATAGATCCATAAATATGAAGGATTTTAAACTATTTTCACGTGTTTGGTTTAAGTTATTCCCCTAATGTTGCATTTATATAACGTTATTTATTTCTTGTAGCACACTAAAAGCTGTATCAAATATAACATATTTCATCTGGGCCTTAGGAGAATAATTTGGCTGGGTGACCTAAACTATCGCATCAATTTGCCTTACGAGCTAACAAGAGAACTGATTTCCAATAAGAACTGGTCGATGTTACTCGAGCGGGATCAGGTAATTCTTTTAGGCCCTTGTGTTTCCTTTGTTTGATTATATACTATGTTCCTATTCTGTATTATTCATATTTGGTTTTTGAAGTATGTTGAATTTATATTATTGTTTGGATCACTTCATGACTTCTTGGAAACATAGATGAATATAAGTTCTATTTTTAGCTTGTTGATAAGTTTGCATACATATTATATAATATAATGTAAAAATTCCTGTTTGCGGGTGTGAAGTCCAGAAAGTTAGGTTGCCATTTATATATAGTCCCATATGTCTATGCAAAATTTTTTTACTCAAGTACCATAAAGTGAAACTACATGGTGAAATAAGAAACATTTGATTTTTTTTACCACTTATGTGTAGTGCACGTGCGATGCGTGTGGTGGTGAATGTTTTGGCCGACTAAGTTCTGTAAAATAAAATAATTGATTTATTGAACATATCATTGTATGAACAAAATAAAACGTAGAAGAAGTGAGCTCCTAATGCCAAATATAGACGAAAATTTTCCGCCCAAAATCATACCAATTATGGCAATAAGGATTGGTCCGTTATATAGATATATATATAGATTTTTTAATTGAGTTACATTTTTTACAAATTAAATATAAAATAATTAAAATGATTATTATTTCATATATGCAATATGATATTTGTATATTATGTTCAGGAAACTAATAACAAATAAAAAGTTATTTAAAATTTCAGTAATCATTTTTTTTTCTTGAGTTTAAAATTTCTAACCTAAAGTTTAAATAACTATTGTTTATTACCTAAAATTTTACACTTAGAATTTGTAAGCACAAAACATTAACAAGAAATTAACAAATCACTGTGTTTATATTGATAAATAGAAGTTTTGAAAGTCTTAAATTCATTTTTAATAATTATAAAATTTTTATTTATTACATATTTTTCATATTTATTAGTAAGTGTTACAAATTAATTATATTTTAACATTATTTATCATATTAATTAAGTATAGAATTTTTTTGGTCTAATGTCTTATTATTTATCAATTAATTTTATATCTTTATATTATATTATATATAATTACAATCTTCTCATTGATATTACACTGAAATATATAAACTTTTTATTTTTTATTTTTTATAATAAAAACACTGCTTTATTATACTAATATATCAAGGTGATTTCTTGATGAAAATTAATTAATTTTCGATGTTATCATGAGTCTCGAGATATTCTTAACTAATTTGCATATAATCATATGATCATAACTAAATCATGTTGCTCAAGTGATATCCCATTCAACTTGAAAACAAATGGATTGGATATTAGAATTATACAATTTCATAAAATTGTTCTAAATTTATTCTAAGCAAAGAAATTGAGTAGAATAGAAGATTAGAGTGCAAAACAATCACTCAACAATTAATCTCTTTTACTATTACACAATTTATTCTTTTTTTATTTTCTGTACTTTGTGGTCGTTGTGAGGACAATCAATATTTTCAATTTTTTTACTTATAATTATTAGTAAATAAATAATACTGAACCAATTATCTTATTTGATAGGATATTTATGGTCAAATAAACTCTAAAATTTTATTAAAAAAAATCATAATACCATATAATAATCTAAATATAAAATCAATAAATAAGATAATTAATATATAAAAATTTTAATTCCTATGGTTTATTTAGAGCTCATCTTGAAATCAATGACTCAAATAAAGTAATAATAATTAAAATATCTTGATATATTTTATTGAATGAAAAAGTTCATATATCTTATGTGTTAATAATTAAAATATCACGAACCTTGAATTAATAGATTCATTACGTTATTGGCTTTCAGACCAAAATTTAAAAGCAAACAAACAAATCAAGAAATGACGGTTTTTGTGGAATCAAATTCAATCAAATAAGAATAAGAATAAGGTGCAATTCTAATTCTACTTCTAAATACTAAGAGTTTATTTTTCTTAGATAATAGAGTAGTTAAATGAATTGTACTTTTCTAGTTTGTTAGATTATGTATATATGTCACATGTAAATGATTTTCAGTAAAATTTTAGTTATCTTCTCTCCATTAAAGTTAAATATGTATTTTTGAAATTATTTATTGTATACAAGTTCTCCCTTAACTAAATTGTCCTCTTTTACCAAGATTTATCGTTGTTGTTATAATTGTAGATATGTAAAAAAATAGTTGAAAATATTTAAATTCTTCATAAGCATTTATTGTGCTTCTTTGTTGGATCAGTTTTCTTTAAAGAACATTTATCTCCATCTCCATAGAACGGCTAGGTTTTACGTTGGCTCGCCAAGCCTATCACACCCTCCTGCTTGGGACCTGCTATGTTGAGACAACATAGGCGGAGTTCATCACTGATCTTAAGAGTGGTTCCAAAAATAAGGACATTTATCTATTAGAATTATTAAATATGAGTACGATTTTACAATTAAAATTATCAAGAAGTTCATCACTGATCTTAGAGTGGTTCCAAAAATAAGGACATTTTTTAAAACAACAATTTTATATTCTTTCAAAGTTTCAAAGTTTAAATGTTTGGGTTGATGATGGGTTGATTTTTGGGAGATATAGAAGAAAACAGTTTGGGAGATATGTGGAAGAAAGTAACTTCGTGAGGAATAATGATGCGAGTTGTTGATATTTAGCAGATGTGGAATGTTTTGTTCGTGTATTTCTAATTAAGTAAATATTAGTTATTAATTAAAAACAAAAGATAGGGTGGGTAATAGTGTACTACTAATTTGACATTGAAAAATTTGTCAAAATAAGGGTTTTTTAGTAGAATATTTGTTATTAATTAAAAACATAAGATATGAAGGGTATTAATGTACTATTAATTTGCCATAGAAAAACGTCAAAGTAGTTAAAGTAGGGGTTTTTTGGGTAGTTAATTTTATTTTTTTTAATTTTATTTTTTTTTTAAAAAAACCATTCATCCTTTTAGAATAGTATCGATAGATAGACAAGATGGGTGCTATTTTCAGGTCGAATTTATTACTGTACTAACTCATCCTCAAGTAAACTACTGCTGCTCCTTACATATTGGACAACTTGAGCATATCGCATGAATTAAGCAAGACAAGAAAGCCAAGCTTCTAGAAATACTGGTATACATGGCCAAAGAGCCATTATCGTGATTGATAAACATTGCAGTAAATGAACTTCTCCAGAATATCGGTTCAGAAGTCTCCATTGCTGATATACTTGGCTGAGCTCCATGAATTTGTATGTTAAGATTTATGTTAGGAGTATGGAAGGAAATGAAAAATATGTAATTTACTGAAGTTGCAAATATATTAGTAAAAAGGAATAAAAGAAGCAATACAAAAAAATGGCATTTAATGGAATAAGCCTGTCAAAATTCAAAAGATTTAGCACCCACTAAACTATGTAAAAATGAACATAAGATATTCTAAATTTGATTTCATTCAATTGTTGCATCCTATCAAATGGAAGTTCTAGTGTACAAACTTTCATGGTGATTAGGAGACTTGCATATTATAGTTTCCGAATGTAGCAGTTTGTGAATATTATAAATCCTGCATTGTTTGTTTAATGTGAAATCAATTGCTGGATTTCCGTGAATGGTCATTTGTGCATTTTGTGTCATTGCCTTCTTGGCTATGGTGTTAAAATATGAAGTTGATTTTCATCATGCTTTCATCCAGATAGACTGACATTTGGCTTCTTTTGTAGCTCATAAAGGAGCTAAGAAAAGGCCGTGTATTTCATGGATGGTCTGAGGGTTCTTTGAACTTTGCTCCAACTTATAAATATGAACTGAACTCCGACGCCTACTGTGGAGTGGATCCAAAGGCTGGAAAGCGAACTCCTGCATGGTATGCATTATTGCTGGTCTTAATATTCCTGTTTCCCTTTTGTTGTGTATACATATCTGAATGGTCAATTCTAACTGTCATATCTTATAAGNATATGAGCTAATATCTACCTCCATTGCGGTTTCGTTAAAACGAGTACTCTGTCCGTGTGCTGTAAATCATATTTCTGGTTAAATCATGGCAAATAGAATTACACGAAAACATAGTTTATGTATCTGTTTTAATTATTTATCTATTTATTTTTACCTACGCTGTCTAGTTTAATTACCAAAAAGTATCATAGCATTTGCTAATACCTAATGATGCATTACGACACTGCCTAACATACTTTCAAAATCTATACTTATATAATAAAAATTAACATTTATCCAAAATAGTAGGTCAAATTATGGTCAATGTCGGATTTGCATTAAATATTTTCCAAAACGGGTAACTTTTTGTCCTTTTCACACTTCTCATTAATTATGTCATTTTTAAACATCTAATTAATTTATTAATTACGACATAATTATCATAAATCATTCCATCTGAGTTTTTATCGTTAAAATGTATAGCGATCTGTTATGACCTTACCCCATTGATATTTCCATGAAGCGCCCTTATCGCGTTCTATTTTTTGGTAACCACTCTATATCAATAACCGGATATTTGGTTAATGATAGCACACGTCTTTATTTCAAGGAGCGGATATTCTTTGACCTCTGAACTGATTGCCTTGACTTTTTAATTTTTAAAAACTCTTTTTTTTTAAATATTTCGGCTTAAGATTCAAATTTCATTATACAAGTCATCGGATTGTTTGAATGAAAATGAATGAAAAGAACACCAAAAACAGGTAGTCTTATTCATATAACCAATCCTAAAATATTTATTTGTTCACCAAAAAGAGACAAATCCTAGAAATCCTAAAATATTAGTTTGTTCACCAACCCTAAAATATTAGTTTGTTCACCAAAAATATTAGTTTGATTTTTAGGATTTGTTTCTTTTGAAAATATTAGTTTGTGATAATGAGGAGTTACCAAATAATCAAACTCATAATGTTGTGTACAAGGAGATTTTTAATAATATATGATTGTTACCGAACTTTTTATGATTCAACAATGTTCCTATGTATTTTAATGATTTTAATTTTGATCCTAATGCACGTGAGGTTATATTATTCTTCCAAATTTTACATCTCGTGCATCGCACGGGTTACGTACTAGTTATCCCAAAATGATTTAGCTTATAAACTCAAACCATATATCAAGGGGACTTTTGTAATTATGATTTGTTTTTTAGTGCAGTGAGTAAGGAGTACAAAGTTTATATTGTTGTGTGTATAGGGGTGTTATTCGAGCCAAGCTGAACTCATACTCGTTTAATAAATTAGCCGGCTTGGCTCAACTCGTTTAATCAACGAGTCAAGGCAAAGCCTTTTAAGCTTATGAAAGTCGTTTCGTTTAATAAACCTAAAACCGTTCGCAGGGTCATTTGCAATCAAGTTTGGCTCGAATGTTTCATTTTAAACACATAAAGAAATGAGTTCACATAAAAACTCAGCTCGTTTAATGAACGAGCTCAATAGTTGTTCGAGCTTGGCTCCGTTGCTTTCACAATTCAAACTAAGATGTGTAGCATTTGTATATATCAATATATTTTTTGAATTAACCTCTTATGATTTCATAATGCCCTGCCATAGTGCATCTATCCTTACCGAGTCGTAGTTTGAATGAATTTTTATGAACAAAAAAAAAAAAAACATTGTGTTTTTCTAGTCTTGAATTTATAGTTCACATAAATCCATCGCTTACACGTACACACATCATCTATTATTTAGTGGACAGCAGTAAACTTTGACCATCTTATGTGATAGCATATAGTGGACAACAGTAAACTTTGACCACTTATGTGATAGAGATGCAAGAACGAGTTAGGAAACTTCACTCTGATTTTCGGACCTTGGTGCTTAATCTTATGTATTTTGACTGAATTATTCCTTATATGCTACTACTTTCTTACCCCTTACATTTCTTATTACCATTTTATATCAGTTACAGTTAGTACTCCGTCCTATTTTTATTATTTGTCCTTTTGAGAAGCAACACGCTAATTAAGAATTTTTTTTCTTGCCAATATTAACCCTATTTAATGGATGTTATGGGAAACGATGGAGATGGGATATGAAGACACATTGTGTATTAGATATTAGATGGAGGGTTAAAAATGGAAAAATATGAACAAAATAGCCAAAACGACATTTATTTAATTATTGATCAATTAAGCCAGAGTGACAAATAATAAAAATAGGAGGCAGTATATAATATTTGGTTGTATATATATGAAAAGATTATTTTGTTATAGCATTGGCTATTGGATAAGTTGTTCTTGCTGTTAGATTTCTATGGGAGAAGTTTCCTACTTCATATTTCATAGATAAAATACGTATTTTCTTTTTCCCGATCTTTTACTCATGAAAAAATGTACGGCTATGTTTGGATTGAGAGGTTTATTAAGGGATTTGAAATCTATAGATTTCAAATTTACAAATCCAAATCCCCATACATGTTCGGATGATAATAGAACATGGGTAGGATGATAATAGAAGTCGGATGATTTCAAATTTACGCCAGATAGACTTTAGCCTTTTTCTTGAAAGATTTTAAATGATTCCTCAAACCTAATCATTCCGAGAGTATGAGTATTCATTTAGATTCATCAGCACTGCGAGCCAACACCATCGATGCGAGCTAGACAATGGATTTATAATTTTCTACAAATCCATTCAAGGAGTTTGAAAGTAGCATATTTAAAATTTCAAATGATTAGAAATCAAGAGATTTCAAATCTCTCAATCCAAATGAATTCTACAAGGGAGTCTTTAATGTTCAAGTATACACAAAGATTACCTAAATATTTTTCATACTATAAATAAGATATTTACATAGTACCTATCGCACTCCCATCGGAACGGGAGAAGAACGAACGTTTAGGCTGGATAGAAAATCAAAAAATAAGCAAGGACAGTAGATCCTGGTGATGATATCCGCATATTGAAATTGAGAAGGGACATGTAGAATATGAACTTGACCAATAGCAACCTTGTCTATAAACTAAAGTGGCTTGACGAATAGGGCAATGCAACTCAATAAAGATTTTGCCACAACATTTTTCACTTCACGATACTCGGCTTCAGCACTTGAACATGACAGCGTGGGCTGCCGATTAGAAGACCAAGAGATCAAATTACTCCCAAAATACACACAACAGCCAGAGGTAGAACATCGACTGGCTGAACAACCGGTGTCTGAATAGGCAGTCGGACTTTGTTTGAAGCGAGGCAAATGGTGCAAACCAAGATTAGTCACCTGTATGTATCTCAAAATGCATTGAATCATTAACAACCAAACGATCCTTGTGACTCTGAAGGGATCCATTAGAACTATATTTGTGCCTAAAAAGTCACATGCATTGAATCACATTAACAACGCCTGGGCGAGTTGTCAAGTCTGAAGTTTCATTTTTATTACAGCATTATATTCCTCCTTCATGGCAACATTGCAATTGGGGTCCGTAAGGGCATGAAGATGAGATATGATAGTAGTGTGTAGATTGTAGGGAACTGGTAAGACATCGTTTATCGTTACATTGAACAGGGGAAATAAATTTGGATCGCTGAGCTTGGACAAGGAAAAAATGGAATCTGATCACAAAGAAAAACTAGGGCTTAGAGCTACTATGATACCATGTGAATCTTTGAAGAAAAGGATATTTGAGATTTTGAAACTGTGTGCTCTCCCGTTGGAGATTTCTTGTATATTTATAGCTTGATTACAACTTAATCAATCCATCAATTATGCTCAATTATTCACATCCTCATATCTAGCCTACTATATACAATGTAATTGCCATATGACCACATTTTAACTCACTAAATGCAATGTAACTGCTATTTGGCCACACTAATTATCCTTCTGTCAGGTATGTCATCAATAATATCACGTATTTTGATTTTCCCAATCCTCCTAGCATTATAAATCCACCAATCATAATAGGGTTTTCTCAAATTCCACTCAGGTGTGATCGTATTCTGTCTTTTGGAACTGGAATGAAGTTGGTTAGCTACAGAAGATCCGAACTCAAGCTGTCTGACCACAGGCCCGTGACCGCGACTTACCTTGTGGAAGTTGAAGTCTTCTCACCTCGAAAATTGCAACGGGCACTCACTTTCACTGATGCAGAAATTGAAGAACAAGATGTCACAGAGGTAAGTTGCCGGGCCTGCTCCTTTTGAACTAACATTTTTTATACATAGATCAATGCAATAACAAAATCATGTTTGTTTTAAAAAAGTGTGGTTTCGTAAATAAATACATGTGTTTAGCATTGAATTAGTGTTGAGATATTGATAAGCATATCCTGCTGGCTGTCGTGACAAAAGATATTGGGAAGCTGCTTCGTTATTGCATTTGATTATTGCGGTTGGGAGATTGAATAAGACAATAAGAATTGATGTAGCCTGCTTTATTAATTTATTTGTTGTTGTTGTTATTGTTGTTGTTATTATTTTTATTATTTTTTTTTTTTTTCTAGAGGGGTNGGGTGTTACTCCCAGAATTACCCCCGTAATTTTGACCTAATTACAAAAACACCCCAGTCATCCTTTATATATAGGGATTTTAGTTATACCTTACATATGCCTTTTCTATAAAATTCCACTTCTGTGAGATACAAGCTAGCGTCCATGAGGTTCTAATTTTAAAAAACTAATTTGGTCTTCATTTAATTTTGCTAAATTTTTTTTTCTTTTTTCTTTTTTTAGTTTTATTTTTTTATTATTTTAATGGGGATCAAATTTTCCTACCTGTGATATTAACATATGTACAAGTTGGAGTATGCTTATTCATTATATTTGCCCTTGAAAGTTAAAACATGAGATAAGTACAAGAAATAACCACGAGCTTTCACCTATTTGTCAAAAAGTCGAGTTATCCTTAAAAAATTGAAAGCCTTGAGGTATGTGTTTGTTCAGCAAATGATCTCCCCAAAGTGGAGTTGAAAAGTAGAGTCATCATGTCAGGAGTATGCTAATTTAAAGGATAACCAAGTTTTGGTAATTAGGCAAGACTTACACTACTTGTTAAGTTGCTAGAATGTCAAAATACAGCTATGCCATCTTCTTGACTTGTTTGTCATTTATTCTCATAGAATGCCATTTTATATCTCAATCAGTCATCCATTTATAGTTATGCTGTGCCATAATACGTGGAAATAATAGCCCAGTTAATGCTGATGCATGCCATTACTGGATTAAATTTTGCAGGATACTTCGTTTCTGAAGGGTGTGGGACATCATCGAAGATTTTGAATCGGATGCATCCAATCATCATTTGAAGTTTTTATTTACACAGATCCATTCTTTCGATTCTTTATATATTTGATCACGAATGATATATGAGTTGTGAATTAAATCTGTAAATGGCTCTGTGCATGTATATGTGTTCTACATTTCGATGTTGACATTAGTCAGGTCATAGTGAAATGGTGAAGTCAATGGGTTATGGTTTCATTGACGGAGCTGTGATTTTAGACTGTTGTTTTATGGGGATTCTTTTAGGTTTAATCCAGGACTTGTTCGGGTTTAAATTCAGTGGAGTTTGTATGTACCTAGACAATAGGTTAAATGATATATGAATACTACTCTTTGAAATATCTAATGTATCTCTTTTCTCGCCACGGCTTTTTTCTTCCGAGTAAAATGCTTTGCTTGTATGGTCTTTGATATGAGTTAATCCGGCTCCCACCACGAATGGTCCTTTACTTCGAGCTCCAGTAACCAGCAATACACTGGGGAGGGGTCTCGACGAAAAACTTCCGACGCTAAAGTCAGTACTCGCTCGTGAGAAAATATGTAAAAGGTTGGCTTACGTGCGCAAAATATGAGTTAGTTTTATAGTATATGATATGGGATACAATACCTAAAGGAGTAAACCGATCGAGCAGGCCGGTCGAGTAAGCCAAAAAACACCTGGTCGAACGGAATTCGAATGGACTAGTTGTGGTCGAATATCATTGGATTAAGAGCTTCTGAATCGGAAAGACGTCTTAAAAGGGGATTTCGGTACACGGAGAGTAGGTCGAGCAAAACCCTCGAATAGCCTGGTCGAAGCTCGATCTACAACAATAGATGGTCGTCTGAGTGACCAGGACTTAGGCTCAGAGCAGTCAGCGCTATACCTGAAATCGACTTGGAATTGGTCGAGCCATTGAGAAGATCTCAGGTGAATCAAATCTCCATGTGGTGTGGACACACGGCATGACCTGATTGGTTCATATCTCATAACCGTCTCTGACACACCTTCAGTGTGTGTTGTACAATCAGACAACTCGGGCAGCCAACTCAGCACATCCGGGCAGTCTTCTAGAAACATGTACCTCGCCCGTATATATAGGGGTGAGATGTGTGATTTCAGGGATTACGTTCATTATACTCTTGGGAGATCATCTTCAACACATACTCATTTAAGCATCGGAGGCTCTTCACTGGAAAACACCTATAGTGTGAGAGTTTTTGAATGTACAAGACGTTCTACCGGTGAGGAAGACGAAGACGAACCTATTTCCAGCCGGTCAGAGGTCATTTCTGTACCATTTTGCCGCCGTCTATGGGACCTTGTTCGAAAAGTTGTGTGCAGAGCTTCTGAGTTGTTCCATCCATGGCGGACGAGGTTCCAAGGAAGAATTTATAGCCGTCGTTCGACAATGCGTGGACAACGACGTGACCATTCAGAGTTGGCCCTCCTCCGGACTTCTCCAGACCTTCTCAAACCACGATAACCCCAACTCCTGCTTCTCAAGGGTTTGAGAGTTCATCGATGGTTCCTTTGGTGGAGGTAGGTTCGAGCCGGGAGCAAGAGGCTCGAACAGCGCAAGGGATGGTGGTGCCCGCACAGACACAACCAAATCTAGTTGGAGCTCAGCTGATGGAAACGTTGACGAGATCGCGGACGTGCAGTGTGTAACACCCCGCCTTCTATTTCTAGACATTTAAAAATCAGAGTTAAAATTTTTTTGCTTTTTATTTTCGAAAAATGCTAACTTTATTTTTGAAAATACTATTACTGACTCGCGGGATGTTACTTAACTCTACTATTCTTATCTCTTTCTCATGCAGACATAATTAATAATAATGCCACCTAATCGAATCCATTTAATAAAGATATCATGGAGATAAAGGCATTACACATGCATAAGTCTGAAGTCTCACAATAACATACTGGTCTGAATATGTGAATATGCAGAAGCTAAAACATGATAAATACATGCATAGTGAATAATACATGTTCATAACAAATGACATGAAATGAGTGACAAAAATATCCACTAAGCTCGTGACCACGACTACCACAAGTGCTCATGCTCCATGCTGGACTCCGTCATCTAAAAATAAAGTTAGTGGGGGCGTGAAAAAAACCACTATGCTTCAAAAAAATCAGTACCGAATAAAACAACATCAATAATACAATATCATGACTTAAGCATATAAGTAACTGAATTGATCTGAACTGAACTGGATTGATTATGAAAACCCTCGGTGTTATGCCACAAATCTGTAAACTGCTCGACCGCTCCGTTCGAACCGGATTATATCTTCTCGATCGTCGGTAACTGCAAAACACTCCCGGCGTGGACACTCTGACGCTCAAGTCAGTGGGATTTTCGAGAAAATGCGGTAGGGTATTGAAATTATGCGTGTGTGTATTCTTGTGTAAAGATGAAAGAACTTGTCCCTTATATAGACCTAAGAATCCCTGCACAGTAGGACTTTAGGTATGATAGAGTCCTCCTTTTGACCCACCTCTTCATAAGGTATTCGGCCATCACAGAGTTCTATTCGGACTCAACCTCTTGGGTTGAACATATTTTCGGAAATCCCATCCCCGCATGGAAGTGACACGCCTCCTTGGCTCTCCTGTCGATGGTAGCTCAGCCACGTCACCCCGACATCCCCTTAGTTATGCTGAGCTGTTTTCTCAGCAAGCATGGCGAGCTCATCTCCATCACTAGCATTGTGGCTAACACCGCTACCGCTGAAGGTTCTGTGTTAACTCAGTCAGCCGAACTCACCTATGTTCTTCGAGCCACATTCTAAATGCTATATCATCTAGCCCCCCAATTTTCGGGAAGAGCTACCTTAGGTCGGCCAGAAAAATGCTATTACCAAGGCCAGTGCGGCTCACGCACCTTCTTGTATGTGCACCACACGTGAAGGCACCTTATCAATTTACCCCCATCAAATCTGAATCGGCACATGTCAGTCCGTCAGATGCGCGTCATTATTAACCCAGGCGCAATGAAGAACATTCATCGAATCCCATACATGATGTCATCTGTTATTCATCGTATCTCAATTGGATGGCTGTTATTGGCCGACCCTTCGACTACGAACCCTTCGCGCACACGCCATCAATCTGAACCGTAGATGGGCTTTTAAATTGGACGGCCTCGATCAGCCGACCTTCCTTATGCCATCCTCCTATATAAATACAAGAGTCGCCACCTCCAATTTTTCTTTCATCTCTGTCATTCTAATTTTGCAAATTCCCGTACTTAAAAAATTCCCAGCAACTTCATCTACGGCGAACTATCAACTCAAATCAGCAACCTTCAACCACCGTGATCATGTCTTTCTTGGGTAAGTAACCTCATTTATTTCTCAAACTTTATTTTCGCATATTCCCATTATAACTTACTAATTTGTTGGTACTATGTGCCCCAACACCATTAGAACACCTCATCCCCCTAACTAACTCGAATTCATACTCCCCTTCTAACTCAGAACCCCAAGGCGAGCCGTCAGTGAATGAAGCCTCAACGGGGATGAATCCGTCACCGGCCACCGCCGGTAATAAGAGCAAAGTCGTAGCCCCTGTTGCCACTGTTGTTCGGTCGGCCCCTCCTAATCCCCTTACCTCGTATTACACCTATAGGATAGCCAAAATCTTTGAAGAGATCGAGCTTCCTCGAGGGTGGACCCTTAAGGTTCCTCGTCGATGGAACACAGACACTAACCCTCCTCCATATTTTTACACTTTTTTCCTCGACCAGGCCGCCTCCGGGCTTAAGTTCCCTCTCCATGACGACCTAGTAGAACTTAGTAAGCTATACGGTCTTCCCCGGAACCATTTCTCGCCTAACGCCATTAGACTGCTCATAGGCTTCATAATGGTGTGCCAAGCTAGGTTAGGTCGGCTAGACCCCAAACTATGCTTCTACTACCTTTAAATAAAACTCTTAGGCACATCGTACTACCTTTCCACCCGCCATAATGTTCGCTTTCTCGGTCAGCCAAAATCCAAAATCCACAACTGGAAAAATAAATTCTACTACCTTCGCCCACCCCCTAACACCTTCGACTTTGCACCCGAATGGACCCACGAGCTCCCTATGTTAGATATGCTGTAAAAGCTTGGCTTTCAGATATGAACAATACCATTTTTATCTGGCAATCAAAATGCTTGCAATTTATTTATTTATGCAATCATACTCCTTGTCTTACATTGAGATAGTGTGGTTCATGGTGTCTCAAACAGAAAAGTCACCTATCGTTTCCTTGTAAGACTAAACTATTTGTTCACAGTCTAGACAGGCAGTGAGACCCCTCTTGGAAAAAGACTGTAGTGTATTCTTGATTCAGTTGATCTTTGACTGAAGTACTACACTAGTACTTATGTTAAGTATTGAACAGGACCACGGAAGGATAAGATTACGAGACTCACTGACCGTTGTTGTAATGTAGACCTTCAGTGATTGATGCGTTCTCTAAAGCTGTAAGATAATATAAATCAGGTATGTATAATTATTACTTGTTTATTTGATTTACCAAGGGTGATTCCTATTCTGTTAGTATGACATACTCGGTTCTTTGGTAAATGAGGATATTTATACAGTGTGCTGTTATAAATTATTTACGGTCACTATGTTCCAGTGCGCTGGATTGATGACGTCCCCGAAATGAGCTTAGGAAGAAATATTATGTTAAACCCTCTAGGTGGATAATTATCCGACATAATGATTAAAGATTTGAGTGGTACTAAATTCAGAAATGAATAAGAAGTTAATTAATTACTTTGTCAGTAATTTAATTAATCAACAGACGTTATATCTTAAACATAGGGAGGTAAAATCGGTCAATTAGATTAATATTTATTAATCAAGAGGAGGTTTGATTTAATTGATTAAATTGGAGCTAAATGGGGAGAGCAATAGTAATACTCTAGTGGGATGTATTATTATTTAATTCTAATTAGGAGTTTAGGAATTAATTTTATTCCATAAATAATATTCCATTAGTAGGAGAATATTCCTTCTAGAATGTTACCTAGGGTTAAGAGACTAAAGAGTCTTCTAGAAGGTGATGTTGGGAAGAAGGAGTTTTATCCTAGATTAGAATAACATATGAAGTGGAATTAGGATTCCTTTGCCTAATGGGATAAGTCCATATTTAGCACCTCCTTAAGGTCCCTAATAGAGCCTATAAATACACCATGTCCCAACCTCTTGTACATAACTTGTGAGGGCCTATTTTTCCTTCTTCCTAAGAGAGAAAGATTGTCTTGTTCAAGAGTTAGGGAGATTCAATTAATCGCACCACAAATATTAATTGGAGTAGGTGTTTAGGTAATCCATTAGAATATTTTAAGGTGATATTTATCAAACCTTAAAAATCATAAATT